AGCGGTTAGGTTATTGAAAAAAACCAGCTAAAATACAGCAGAGTTTTTTTTAAACCTTAGTGTTAAACTTTTCAGTGAGTGGGCTGGCTTAAAGGATAGACAGGAAAATTTCACCAGCCCAGTTAATAAGGTGATGCTGCAAAGGAGTAGGAACTGCTTAGACTCTGCTGTTAAAGCCAGCATTATAACGGCATTCTTAAGAAAGCATGGTATTTGAATTGTCTCCATGGGACTATTTTTCTAGAACTGCAATGTTTGAACAGATGCAGCTTGAGGTGGGGCAACCATTATGTTCGTGGGACCTAGACCTTTGCTTATTTTATCGGTGCATGATATATTAAGTAAAAATGGTAGTACTGAACAGTGGAAGTTAATACAAGTACACCTGCTTCATGAAATTGATTGGTCCAGTTTTCAGGAGCCCACTTACCATGTCTGTATTGCTGTCTTTTGCTTGCCGGATGGTAACTTTAACATGGTATTTCTTTTCAATCCACTGTGCTATCTGTTTAGTCTTGGTCTCTAAGTCGTTCTTGGCAATAGCTGAAGAAAAGGATAACTCCTTCTGAACCACCCCTGTTTAAAACAGAACTAAAACTGTGTTGGCTTAAGATCTGACAAACCTGCGTTAGTTGCTCTTTGTCAACAGCCTGTGGTGCTTTGTCTGCTTAACTCCCTTTCCCCGTGCTGCTTTCCCATACACCGAGCATCCCAATTGCACTGTCTCAGGATGCACCACTCTCACCTTAGGAGGTGGCTACTTGGTATCTCACACTCACTGCCACATTGGGAGACAGAGTGCATGTTTGAGACAGACGGGGAAGTCTCTTCAGGGTCAGAGGCTTAAAGTATTTTTATTTTAATTAAAATTTTGTTCATACCACCCACAATGCAAGTCTAACAAAGATAAACCGGTAAGCATTGATATTAAAGACTTAGTGTGCAGATTCCTACATTCTGCACACAGTATAGTTGAATGTAAAACTTTGAAGTTAGTCATCTCTTCATCTCAAGCCCATTTTCTTGAATGGTGAAGTGCAATGTTCAACTGGAAGTATGATGTCCTGTAATATATTTGAACAATTTATGGTCTCTTTCTCCTTAAAGATTCTCTAAAGTAGTTAGCATTTGAATAATCTTTGTAGTTTCTTGAACAGAAAAACTCACTACCACAATAGTGCTCTTCTGTAAAATCAGAACTCTACCCAAAGCACACATACCTTCATTAGCCTGAGGGTAAGAAAAGAGGACACAAGGTCAGATACCTTTTCCAACACCTCTTTGCCAAACTCAGTTTGTTAAACTGCCGGAGCAGGCTGACTTAAGAAAAAAGCACTGAAAAGTGTTCAATATTGAAAAAGTTGTTCTCCTTCTCGTTGTACAAGAAAGGGCTCCAGACTTCGTCTTCCTAGCAGCAAGCTAGGAATGACTACTGGTGACAAAATTATATTGGTGTTTCTGGTGCTCTTTTTGTAAAAACTGCCTGTTACTTCACGCCTTAGTAAAAGAACAGAAATTCAGTGAGTCTCATGGAACCAGAGTCTAGTTATATTCACTTAAATAAAAATAGATTAAAAAAAAAAAAAGCTAGCAGATGCCAAAATAGTAAATCCTGAGAAGGCAATAGAAGGCTTCTCTGTGGAAGACTAGACTAATCCGAAATTTTATTTTCACCACTGCAAATCCTTAATAGCGTGGACTGCAGTGACATTGCTTTGGATTTACACAAATGCAAGTAAGAGGATTTCATCTCCTGAAACCAATTTTAACGCAGCATTTTGCAAAGTGCTCGGTGTTGTAGTGTCAACAATGTACATACCCGGTTTTGGACTTGCTTTTTTCTTCTCTGCACGTTTAAGCTGTTCTTCATGAATCTGCTGCCCACTCATCAGTCTGTATACAGGAGGTTCTGCATTCTCTTGAAGGAGAACTAGTTTCAGGTCATGCTGATCCATAAGTTTGAGTGCCTCTGCTCGGTGCATATTTCCTAAGCTCTCTCCATCCTGGTTGATTAAGTGCAAAATCCGATAGGGGATTCTTCGCCCAACGCTTCCAAATGCTGCTTTCTTTTTTGGTTGTGTTTGAGATTTTTCAGCTGTACAAAATGGTTGAGTAAGTCCAAACACAGTTGACTTTCTAGGGTCAGGTACCACCATCCAGAATGGAGGAAAGGCCCTCTTTTGTGGCGTTTGTGTCAGAAGAGTACCAAAGAATCTTTCTGCATATCTATTCTCATTTCTGGTTGCTTGACACAAAAGTTTCATCACACAAAAGGTAGTCATTCTGAGGAAACAAGGAAGAAGAAAAAACAAGTTAGCCCCATCAGTCAGATTCTTCCAGTTATATTAGAAAGACTTGACTCCAGTTCAGCAAACCCTAGTCCTCAAAACTACTCTTTCAAAAAGATGCATGGCGTTGCTATACAGAATGAACAATCAACAGTAATTTTACAGTAACAGAGGGCTTTAATCCAGAGAGAAAATCTGGCAAAGGAACAAAATTTATGAAGAGTTAATGTTATCTTCAGTCTTTTAAAATTTGAGCCTAAACTCCTTTAAAGAATCCAAACCTTCTAGTTCATTTCTCCTCACAAGAGTATCCACTCTTACACAGCTTTTTTGTGCATAGAGAGATTAGCCAGTGGTTAAGAGGGAGAATTTGCTGTCAAATAAAAAGGCATGTCACACTTAATATTTTCAGTCCAGATTTTTTTAATGAAGTATCTAGCACTAGGACTTTCTTCCTGGTTCAATACTCTTCTTTGGAAATCGTTTCATTTAAGCCACGTTAATTCAGAACCACCCTAATCACATAGTGAAGAAAGTGGTGATTTGTGCAACGCCCGTCAGCAGCCATCCCAACATCTACAGCCTGGCTTTTTTATGCTTTGTAAGGTTTTGGAATTTAAAAGCCTTGACCGTACAGAGTAGGACTGCCATGCAAAATCTTCACCTTGGCATTAAAACATGACAAAGTGACCATTACTGTACTTGAAAATATGGTTCATCTGAGGGTTGAAAACTCTTCCATAGGTAGCATGCAACTTGCTTCTCACAGCACTGACCCCCACTTGTGTATTTTTCTCAGTTTTCCAAGCATCATTTTGTGGAAGTAATCCAGCTAGTTATTTGGTCTTGTATGGATTAAGCACTAATATCATTTCGGTAACCTTAGGAAAAAAAGAAAGTGTCCTCACTGTCTTTTTTAAGCTCAAGTTCCACAGATTCAGCCATGCTTCAAGTGAAAACAGTGCCTTAATTTTAAACCTATTATATCAGACATTTAAAGTATCGATTGACTTTCCCAGTTTTTCACAAACATTAAATTTAGGGTGGCACATTCCTATTTATAGGGAGCTGATTTTTTCCAGTTATCAAAACTATTTAGATTTCTTACATACAGAAAGCATGCACCTAAGTAGCATTAATTGTTTGGAAAGTGCAATTTACTGTAGACATTCCACCCCAACCACCTAATAAAACCACCGATAATGATCTTCTTGAATGGTGAAAAAAGCTTGTGGGGAAAAAAAGAGAAAAATAGAGACACGGATAAGACTTGCCTGCAATACATGGACTGGAAAATAAGCAACACATTCATATGCCTAAGATCCCCACTTGCAAATTAAAATTTAAATAAATTGTTACAGACATCTATCCTGCCATGGTACTCATGAAGCTACAGACTTTCAAAACAAGCCTTGAAATACACCAGTGCTTGGAATACGAAGACTAGTGAAACCGATCTTTGGGACATTCCTTCCATTAGAATTTTTTCCCCATTCTTCCCTGGTTCATGGAATCCCCCTGGCAGTTTTGGTGCACCTGACCATTATTTGCATTTTGTTCAACACTTCAGAAATCGGCCATTTTGTAACAGCTGCAAAAACTTTAGAAATAAAGAAACTTTAGAAATAAAGAGCAAACTGTGGAGTATTATCTGCAGTTTTGGTATTCCATGTTCAAAAGGCAGCAAATACAGGAAAAGGCAAAGATGACAGAGGAAACCAAAAACGGGTCATAGCAGAGGAGTTGGCAAGAGTGTGACTTGTTTTGCCTAGGAAGGAATGTGACTCCACTCTATAAATATATACATGCATACATATATGTGTGCATGACATTGTGTAAACGTGTCGCATGTCCATATGTATACAGAGGGAGGATAGAAACAATCAGCAAGGATAAGGAACTATTTACAATTCTATATAAGCAGTCTTAGCCCAGGAACAAGTAAAATGACCGGCCTGTGAATAAATTTAGCCTGAAAATGGGTAAATTTCAAAGCCTAGGACAGATTTCAAATTTTAGCAGTAGGGACAAAGCCGACAGAGACTGCTTGAAGAGGTACCGGACCTGTTGGTAAAGAGGGCAGTCTGACCCGGCTGTGTGCTACAGCAGGACCCTGCGCTCAGCTAGCCACAGGGCACAGCAGAGTCCAAAATCCGCCAGGAGAGCCACCCTGCCTTCTCGGCACGCTGAGTCCGGACCAGAGCCACGGCCCCGGGAAACACAGCTTCTTCGCGGCGGGGGCGATGGCCCTACAACTAAACCCCCGCTGCCAACACGCAAGCGTCTTTGCGCGGCATCAGTGTGGCCACACAAAAGCCCCGAAGTCCTTATTTTTAAAATGGTTTCGTAAACCAGCTGCAGAGTGTGCACTGCAGACTTACAGACTGTAATCTGGGTGTCACTGGCGCATTATAAAATACTGTAATTAAATTTATCTTGCATTCAGAGGAGCCTGGCTCACCTTTGTCAGTTACTGACTTCTGAAACTAAGTAATAGTATCACAGCAACGGAGTAATAGTTTATTTTAAAGAAACGTTAGCCTTGATCTGCTAAATACATGGGTTTGCTTTTCTTCTCCTTCGTTCTCTGTTGCCATTTAAATGTAATAAATCCTGCCTCAGCTGTCTGAGGAAGAAAATGACCTTTTACAGAAGGGCTTTTCTCCATACAACGGCGCGGACAAAAGCCCCGAAGTCCTTATTTTTAAAATGGTTTCGTAAACCAGCTGCAGAGTGTGCACTGCAGACTTACAGACTGTAATCTGGGTGTCACTGGCGCATTATAAAATACTGTAATTAAATTTATCTTGCATTCAGAGGAGCCTGGCTCACCTTTGTCAGTTACTGACTTCTGAAACTAAGTAATAGTATCACAGCAACGGAGTAATAGTTTATTTTAAAGAAACGTTAGCCTTGATCTGCTAAATACATGGGTTTGCTTTTCTTCTCCTTCGTTCTCTGTTGCCATTTAAATGTAATAAATCCTGCCTCAGCTGTCTGAGGAAGAAAATGACCTTTTACAGAAGGGCTTTTCTCCATACAACGGCGCGGGAGCGCACTTTGCTTCGTGCGTTCCCGCCCGTGCCGCAGCCGGCGCCCCAGCCGGGGCGGC